TTTTTTTTTTTATATATATATATACACACACACATATATATATATATATATATATATATATATATATATATATATATATATGTGCAAATAAGAAAATAACATTTTAAAAGTTTTGATTCCCAATCAATAAGAATTTAATTAACAATTTCAAGCCGGTACATTTACACTCAAAAGTACATTTTTCTTCTCACTGACACTCATTTTCCAATTACACCCCGCCAACTCTAAAACGATCCGTTGTGTAGTGTTAGGGTGCCAGATGCAGAGCTTAAGCTACATACTAAGATACTCTCCAAGACAACGCTAAATTGCAAGTGACCTCTAACTAACTGTTCAAAATAAATCTTTTAAAATCATTTACTTAAGCCACCAAACCGGCTGACCTAATACAAGACTGCACACACACACACACACAAACATAATGTTTCCCTACTTTGCTGTTCTCTTCTGGCTGCAGCATGTTCCACTTCTTCTCCTTTGTGTCCAGTGTCATCAGCTCCTGGGACATGTACCAGTGCTCAGATCTGAAGATGTAGCCCCCAAAGACATAGATGGTGTGGGTCAGGGGATCGAACACCGCACTGTGACCGTATAAGCCTGGGGAAGAACAGTTCCCTAAGGTTTAACATGTGCGACATATCACAGCCTCTTTTTCCCCAAGTCAATTTTTGTTAACAGTGAGTCTCATGCTTTTGTATAATATGGACTCCCATTGGTAAAATACTATGCTACCCCTTGACTCCCCCACAACCCCACCCTAAAAATGAGTTGTAGTTTCAGGACTGAATACAAATACAAATCTTTGTTTCCTCCTTTGATCATCCCGATTGAGTATTGATTTTTATTTGATTTCTTTTTTTTTACACTAGAGAAATAATTTAATGTAGGTGTCTTGCGTTTAAATTGTTTTAGTTGGAAAAGTCGACTTTATTAAAATATGTATTTATTGATGTGCTGAAAATGTGTATGTGCAATGTGATCGAAAAACATTTCCATTTGTTTGGATCAATAAAAGAATCTTATCTTATCTCCTAAAGCAGACTGTCAACTCCTAAGTCTGCTTGGATTGATTGATTCGTCAAGTTCTTGAATGCGTCGTACTATTCTTACTATCACTGAATAAACTCAAGTCCTTTTCATAATAATTATAACTTTAATATCTAAGTTTATACTATACACATAAACACATAAATGTAGCACAGCTCGCTATCAAACATAAATAATATACATCCTACTTCCACAAAGTTCCACTCAAGACTGCCGCACGACTAAAACTTACGTCACAATACTGTCTAGACTTGACGTCACGATTCAGCATTAAAAATACGTCATAGAGACAAGCGCGGGAAGAGCGTTCATTAACTAAAAGAGTAGAGCGCAGCAAGAGCGGTCATTAACTAATGAACATAATATTCAGTTCTAACAATTACTAATGAACTCCCATACTTGACACAGACAATAAAACCCCAAAAGGACAGCAGAAGCTGCTGATTGAGACGCTTTGAGATATCAAACCCATGTAACCACCTCTATGTTCTTTTTTAATAGCATAAAAAATGTTTGCCTTTCCTTAACTAAATGTATGTTTGTCTAGCTTTGTTTTTTGTGCGTAGGGCTGTGGAATTCATTACATTGACAATTTCTAGACGCAATAATAATTTTCAAATCAACCATATAAATAAGAGAGGTTGATGACACATGTCAAGCACCATAAGTACCAAGTCATGTTGGATCATGTTCCATGTTTACTTAAGAACAGTAAGTAACAACCATTAGGGCCCAAGTCAACAAACAACTGACCTGTAGGAAAAGAGCCATGCATCGAGTTGCGGTCGTGATCCTTCCAGGCCATCAGCCCAATAGAGACATTGTACTCATAGACTTTGTCATTGAAATAGTTCTCTGCAGAGAACCCACCAATCAGCATGAGGTTGGTTGTGCCCACGTGGGTCAGGGTGTGGCCTGCCAGGGCTGGAAGCCAGGTAGGGGGCTGCCATAAAAATAACAACATGATAAGTTAAACAGTAACATGAAAGTCATTTACACACATAGACGATCAAGATAGGTTAAAGATTAACAGGGAAGTCATTTACACACATAGACAATCATGATAGGTTAAAGATTAACAGGGAAGTCATTTACACACATAGACGATCAAGATAGGTTAAAGATTAACAGGGAAGTCATTTACACACATAGACGATCAAGATAGGTTAAAGATTAACAGGGAAGTCATTTACACACATAGACGATCATGATAGGTTAAAGATTAACAGGGAAGTCATTTACACATGTAGATGATCATGATAGGTTAAAGATTAACAGGGAAGTCATTTACACATGTAGATGATCATGATAGGTTAAAGATTAACAGGGAAGTCATTTACACACATAGACGATCAAGATAGGTTAAAGATTAACAGGGAAGTCATTTACACACATAGACGATCAAGGTAGGTTAAAGATTAACAGGGAAGTCATTTACACACATAGACGATCATGATAGGTTAAAGATTAACAGGGAAGTCATTTACACATATATATGATCATGATAGGTTAAAGATTAACAGGGAAGTCATTTATTAAAATATATATATATATATATATATATATATATATATATATATATATATATAAGACAATCATGATAGGTTAAAAACAGTAACAGGGAAGTTATTTATATATATTAGAAAATCATGATAGGTTAAAAACAGAAACAGAGAAGTCATTATATAATACACACATAGACGATCATGAGATGTTAAAAATTAACAGAGAAGTCATATACACATATATATAATCATGATATGTTAAAGATAAACAGGGAAGTCATTTATTAAAATATATATATATATATATATATATATATATATATATATATATAAGACAATCATGATAGGTTAAAAACAGTAACAGGGAAGTTATTTATATATATTAGACAATCATGATAGGTTAAAAACAGTAACAGGGAAGTCATTATATATATAAGACAATCATGATAGGTTAAAAACAGTAACAGGGAAGTTATTTATATATATAAGACAATCATGATAGGTTAAAAACAGTAACAGGGAAGTCATTTATATATATAAGACAATCATGATAGGTTAAAAACAGTAACAGGGAAGTTATTTATATATATAAGACAATCATGATAGGTTAAAGATTAACAGGGAAGTCATTTACAAACACACACAACACAATAGTCTACTTTGCCATGTGGCACTGTTCTTTTCCTACACAAAGTGAGAACAATGAAGTGGTTTTGTTTTGATGTTAGAAACTGTACAAAATGTATTGTGAGCTTACAACAGTGGTGTTCAACCCACAGAGATGGCCCTTCCAAGCTGGAGAAACTTTAATGATTTGGCCCAAAAAAATGTAACATTTTTGGGTGAAAATATTTTCAAACCACCATCATTGATTTACTACAGTTGGGAATCGGCGTGAGAGCACATGAGAAGTTGTAACACAGAAAAGGAGGAAGTCACAAAAGCTAAGGAGTGGTATGACTTGGAGTGTGTCTGATGCATACATGGCAAATTAAAATTTTTGTCTAAAATCAAGTAAAAATAAAAGAAGAAATCTTAAATTTTCAACAAGGTAGCAGTAATTTATGTACCGAACATCAGCAGAGCAACCATTTGGGAACCTGGGTGACATAAAATCGGACACCATCTTCTTCTTTCTTTTGCTTGTACAAGGGAGGCGTCGCGGGTGTAGGGTTTAATTACTGGCAGCAGTGAGAGAGATGAATATGGAAACCAAAAGTAATTTGATGTGTTTTCCTATTTGATCATTGTAAAAATATCCACATCCCCCACCAATGGAACAAGTTAGACGGAATAGATAGGTGGGCATCGTGACTTAACTGGGAGCCGGGGTACCAAAGGTGTCACAAATGAATGACAACGGTGGGCAGCAGCGTGAACCATTTATGGCACCGTGATAATTAAACAGGTGGTCTAGCCAGGTATGGGAGAGTGTGTGTCCATCCTGTATTGTTGTGATGTTGCGGACAGGCACTTGGTATTAAAGATGTCTGAGTATGAGACATTCAATGAGTAGAAAGCAGGATATAAACTGTGTTTGTTTGTAGTCAGTTCAATTCAGTCAGGGAGAAATTGTGAGAGACAGTAGAAACAATTCCTGAAAAATTAAATTTTTTAGAAACAAACATAAAAAAATGCGTGGCCAAGTACATTATGAATGACGTCATGTTTCTTCTGATGAATAGCCACAACTATGGAAATGCAACAAAATTCTGACCAAATTTTTGGAAGCACCTTACATAAGTGAAGCTGGATTCTCTTCAATGACCAACATCAAGTCCAAAAAAAATGTTACGCTTCGACTGGTGAACATGTAGAAAATCCAAGGAGGGCAATTCCTACTGATAACTACCTCAAATTAAGAATACTGCAAGTACAATTCAAACATAATTTATCATTTTAAAGGCAACAGTTTTAGTCCCTTTATTTGTACTCATGATGAGCCGATAATGCAATTAGATATATGATTCTTTAAGAATAATGTAAGAAGTATTAATAATATGTATAATGGTCTTAAAAAAAATAATTAATAAATCTTTCTTTTGAGATGTCATTTGCCGCCCTCAGCCTTGGGGGGAAAAAAATGTTTGGCCCTCGCAGCCAAAAAGGTTGGACAGCACTGGTTAACAACAACACCTGGACAGATGTGCTCTATTCGCACCACACAGAAAAATACTAAAGGAAAATAGCAACCAACTCTGACAATAAAAATTTTGTTTGATGCTTAAAGTGTGGGGGTGGGGTGGGGTGTGTGTGCGTCTGATACATTCAGGGCAAATTAAACATTTTGTCTAAAATCAGGTAAAAAAAAAAAGAAGAAATCTTAAATTTTAAACAAATCTTACCTGATCAAGAGTCCAAGCATGAGACTCTATGTTGAACTTCCACAAAGTGTTGGTGGCGTGCACTGATCTGGCTTTGCCTCTGTCCTCATCCTCCGTGTGATTGAACCCTCCAAACACATAGATCATCTTCAAAAGTGGGATGCAGGCGGCAGCGTGGTAGTAACTGGAAAGTTAACAACGCATGAAATATTCAATGAACACAGAAACTTTGTAAAAAAAGTAGAATGCAATAAAATATTATAAGGCACAGCAGCGCTCAACTTAAAATATATGCCAAGCGTTGATAAACTAAATAAATAAAAATGAACCTCTTAAAGCATGTGTGCCCACATGAAACTTGTTAGTTGTTAAATATTTGTTCGACACATATTTTAGTAAGAATAAATTTTGATATTGTCTTAAAAGACGTTCTTTGTTTCTTGCTGTTTTATCTGCTGATGAAGGCATCTAGCCAAAACATTCATTGGATTGTCATGTTTTTTCCTTCAAGCTTTAACATATCTTGTTCTACTATTTCCTAGATACAGTTGAGCATGCTTAAAAAGAAAGATCCCTCCAAATATGTTATAATTTCTACAGATTATTCATCAGCTCCCTAAACTTCCTGTTGTTGGTAGGAATTTATATATGAATTTCTAACGCTTGATTTCGAATTATATTTCAGAATTGAACAATTCACACAATGAGATAGCCACAGTGTCTGCACTCAATTTTCTTAGGCTGTGTTACCAATTTTGGAGACTTAACTCTCAAAGTACATTTCATTGACTTTTCCATCACGAGTGATCGATGGATTTTAACTTGATTTTTTTCCCCCACCTTTACCAAAGTTATTTTTATCATACAACTATAATTTCATGGATAAATTTGTTAAAAAATATCAATTTTAAGCATTACTTTAGATTTTTAATTTTTAAAAATTTAGTCCTTTCATTGTGTTTCGGTTAAGTTCATGGCATAAATTTTGTCTGCCATATTGCAAATCCTGACAAAAATTTCACTGAATGCTGGTAGCACAAAATGACACAAAAAGGGCAAACATTTATCTTCCAATGAAGTTGTTGATTATATTTCAAGTCACGAAGTGAAACTAGCCAGATAAAAACAAAAATAAGACATGACTGCATATTTTCACCTGATTGAAAATTCCCTATCAGCGGCAAGATTTTTTCTTTGTTATAATGGGTCAGAAAGCACTGAAATTTTGTGGAAATGGTGGAAAAAAATATATTTACATTGGTATACCAGACCTGCTTACCTTGAACTCCTAAAATTGTACAATGTCGTCTCAAAGTAATACAATAGAGTATCTTAAAAGTAACAGATCTAAGCCTATATGTAATGCTTATATTCCATTGTCATTTCACAGTATCAGAGTGGTGACTAGGACAATCCAATCATCATGACAATTCAATTCCTGTCTTAAGATCTGAGCTACCAACTGAAACCTGCTCAAAACAAGACGAGGAGTACCTTCCCTTTTATCAATTTTCAACTTCAATTTACATCAACAAGGCTGGAGATGCTTTGTAAATGTACACAACAATTGCAGCTACAATGATATGGGAACTAAGCAAACTTGATTTTAAAACTGGACTTTCCAGTTGATAAAAAAATTTCAAAAATTCATTTGACTGCAACAATCCCAAATTGTTTGAACTGTTACTGGGTAAAAAGGAGTTTATTCACTGGTTTATGGAATTCAAAAATTGTTTTTTATTTATGCCAATCTACATGCCTATATTGTGAGTTTCTAAAAGAAAAAACTGAGTAACCTGCTGATAACCAGTTCATGTAATCTGTACCTGATGAAAGGGGCATGCATGCAAATAAGGTCCCTGGAGCAACAACCATAATAAATAATCAAGAGAAGCAGGAGAGAATAGGACGTAATGTAGCACAACACTGATATGAACATAATAAACTGAAAAAGAATTATAGGTTCTTGCACTTGCAATATCTATAAAACAGTATAAAAGGTTCTGTTATTGTAGATTAAGTTGAATGCAACTACTGCTGCTAGTTGATTGGATTGTGATAAAATTAGTTGATAAAAAATATGAGCTTTGGCATAAATACAAATAATGTGGTTAGTAGAAGAAAACAATAGTGGCCAAGGCCAAGAGCCTGAAAACCAAGAATATTAGAGATTATAGAGCGTATCTTAGAAACAAGATTTGGACTTCTATTGTTGTCATTACCTGCCAATAGGTTTCTGGTCCAGCTCTGTCTCTATTAGTCTCCATGTTTTGGCACTGACATTGTACATCCACATATCATTCATGATGCCCTCCAATGAACTGTAACCCCCATACATGTAGATTATTCCATCACCGCAGGTGGTCAGTGAGTGTCCAGCCCTGGGAGAGGGACCGTGTGTTTGATCGCTGAAGATCTGCTGGTCGGGGTTCAATTCGATGGGCAAGGAAGCTAAGCCAGAGTCTGTTAGGAGCTGAAGCCGCATTTCCTCTTTGCTTATCTTTTCAGCACAGTGAGGTCCACCAAAGCCACTATTGCAAATACAGATACCATTCAGCTGGCAAAAAGAAGGGGTAAAAATCAATAATAGAGGCTTTAAAAAGGCTCTCAGTAATTTTCTTTGCTGATCTTCTCTGCACAAAAAGCACCTACCATAGTAAAATGCAAATACAGATAATATTTAGCTGGCAAAGAGGAGAAAAATATTCATATTAATATTAGTCTAAATAATAAGCTACTTAAAGACTTCACATTGGGAATGTGCAACAAGTGAATAACTTTGAATCCCCTCTAACTGTTGACCCTAATAATGTCTTATCTGTGGCTGACAACTGAAATGGCTGTATGTCACGCCGTTGTCACACGCCATCTTCATCGCTCTCCAAATCCTATGATGTTATGTCACTGTTTTTTTTCCACAAATACAGTTTTCTCAAAAACTTTACTTTTATTAAAAAATTGTGAGCTTTATGTCCAAATGCTTATAAATTTAAATCTAAAATTCCCTTACTTAAACATGTAAATGCCTAAATGAGAAAAGCATTTCTCAAAGTAGCTTCTCCTACATCTAATCAATAAAACAAAGCAAAGGTAGTGTAGTTTATTTATACTTATTTTACTTAGACATTTGTCCCTAAAAATTTGATTCCCTCATTTAGGGGCGACTCATCAAGCAGAAGCAACTGAACATGTCAAAGAATTTTAATTAAACTTACACAATAGCCCCGGCCTAAAGCCTCGGAGCAGTTGAATGGACAAACTGGCAGTATGCAATTCTGTCCCCAGTATCCCTCCTTGCAGACACAGTTACCGTCCACACAGATCTGGTTGCCATGGCATTGGTCAGGACATGCATGGGCACGAAATGTAGCATTGAATCTTCCATTGTGTCCTTTGCTGCGGAGCTCTGTCAATTCAAATAGTACTTTTCATTCATTTAATGTTTACAAAAATTCTTGAAAGTTGCTTCAGGAAAAAACTTTTTTTTTTTAAAACTCCACTTCAAATAGTTTTTGTCTTTAATAAATAATGGACACAGTTTTTTTTTTTTAATAAATAATGGACACAGTTTTTGTCTTTAATAAATAATGAACACTCACTCACTCAAAAATGAAAAACATATTAAATTTTATCTTCAAACATCAGTTTTGTATCAAAGTTGGTTTTCTAGGTGCTTTGACAAGCTTTTGTACTTTGACTTACTTCAAAGCAATCAGTAAAATAAAATAGATAATATGGTAAGACAAATGTCAAATATTTGGTGACGATTAGGAAAATTTCTTTTAGAACTTTAGAAGAAAATTGTTTGAGTGGGGGGAGGACGACAAATGAGCTTACTTGTCAAATCTCCCTCAAAAAGTACAGTGATAGTCCCCTGTGTTCCATACACTGTTACATCTCTGCTTGGCGACAGGCCACAGAATTCTCCAATGCGTTGGTTCTCCATCTTATCGCCAGCACCGCCATACACAAAGTCTGGTATACCATTGTATACATACACGGCCCCCTGGAGATAGATATGTTGGATGATTAAAATCCTCGACTGCTGTTTAAGTTAAAAAGTCAACATAAATTCATCCACTGTCTTATGCAGGACGCGGACCACCGGCGCCACTAAATAAAAAAAAAAAAACCTGTTCATGAAAATCAGTACCTGACCACATTCAATTTCAGTATCCCCTTCGATGGTCAGTGACAGCACGGGTACAGACTTGGAGTCTGTGGCCCTGTGCATGATGTCAGCAAACACTGAGAGGATCCACAGGCAATACGAGTGACCTCCCCCTTTCACACCACTGCCATTGTACGAGCCAAGTGCACCTTGAGTTACATTGGTGATGAAGACACGGTTGTCACAGCGCAGATAGCATTTGCCACCATTTCTGGGGAAAAAACAACATGGAAACCATTAAGATCAACTGACACCAGCTTCTTTGCAAGGCTTGCAGATCTTTATTATTTTAATATAAAAGGTTCTCAAATTCTGACTTGTTCAAATGCCGCATCCAGTAAAAGAGTTATGAAGTGATTCACAGGACAATAAGATTTTTCTAAAATTTTCTTAGATAAGCTCCTGTATTTTTACTTTATGAAAACTGCTGCCTGGCATTAGAATTAAAATTTCTACACTTTACATTTCAAATTTATAGCCTAGCATCTGTCTGGAAGAATTTAGAATTCCTGAAATCTGCATTCACACTTAAGGACAGAGCCAAAAATGTTTCAAGCAAACGAGTGCATCTTGTGGGTACATGACTGCTGTGAGTTTAAACACATATAAAATGATAAACTAAGTGAGCAAATTCATTTTTTAACTGGTCAATTTAGACACTTCATTTCCAGTAGTTATCATGCCAGAAAAATCATGCGAGCAGTCCAGGTCAGCAGCTCTCTTCTTAAAGCTAAAGAGCCAACCCAAATCAAATAGATTCTATGATGTACACCATCTTAGTGGAAATGACACTATAAAACTCAGACGAATACCTTTTCCTTCATGCCATTAGGGTGAACCAAGATAAGTGAAATTTATTTTTTAAAGTTGCCAAGGTGAACATAAATAATTCGAAGATAAATAATTCAAACCAAAATATCTAACAAGACAAACCCTGGATTCCCATAATAAGCAGGCTGGCACTGTTCACAGTAGAATCCATGAGTGTTGTCAGTACAGAAACATTGACCAGTGGTTTTGTTACATTCACCAAGGCTGGGATCACCATGACCATTACACATACAAGGGAAACAGCCTGGAAATAATACAAGAAATGGCAATAAAAGTCATGCTGGCATAAACTATAGAGAATTGTAAATTTAACAAGGCTTACTGTCTTTTAGTGACTGGTCTTACTCGGTGAAGTAACATAACTAATTAAGTACTATCTTAATTTTTTTTTTTTTCCAAATCTACCCTTACAAAATAAGATGACCAGCTTAAAAGAATATACAATTTTTAGTTGAGTATAAATAAATCTTTGATATATTCAACTGAGGACAAATGTGTATATATATTTTTATATATATATAAATTATATATTTGGCCAGCCTGCAAAAAAATGTTCATTTAAACATAACTAGTTTAGGGACCTGCAGCCTTTTTTTGAGTGAGGAGCCATTTTTATAAATTGTATCTAATGAAACATTTTTTGAGCCGCATGTCATTATAGCTTAGTTAAACAAAAACAAAAGATAAAGAGCAGCAGGTTATTGACCTAGGTTAACAAAGTCTGATTAGAGACAATATTATTATTTTACGAAAATATACCTTGAGGATCAAGAGGGTTACCATAAGCCCCAGGCATACACTCATCACAGGTGGCACCAGAGGTCCTATGCTGGCAGGCATCACAGATACCGACCCCCGTGTTACAGGTGCTGTGGTTGTTGCAGCCGCAGCTGACATCACAGCTGTGGTTGCTCCAGCCCAGGTCACATTCACATAGGAAGTCAGGAGGTCCGGAGCACTTACCATTGTGGCAGTCATAGTAACAGCTGGTAGGAGGACAGAGATTTTTTTGTTACATCACTGAAGAATGATTAAGCATTCAAAATACAGAGGATCTCATTTAGTACACAGGAATTCATTCAGAGTCCCAGGGGGGGGAAAAATGAAACACTTAAAACACAGGGATAGGATGAATGGCAAAAATGAGGTTTGTCATGGTAAAAGTATGAAGTAATTAGGACAGAGCATGTAAGGACTGGCATCAATTCAATACACATTTTTCTGCATAAAATGTATTGGTGATGGCGATGCTAACAATTAGCAGAAAAACAAAAGCGACCCACCTGAGCAATCTCCGATCATTATGTTAAACCATTAAATGTACAAACATTTTGAATTTATTGTTTTTTTTAAAAACTTTTTAACATATTTAGCAGCCTTATTTTTTTCTTTCAAAACTTCTTCAAAAATACAAATTCAAAGCATGAGAAATGGATTTTATTTTAAATTTAATTTTTTGAATGTAGAATAAATAAAGGATTTGAATTCAACAGATAAAATAATTAAACAGCATCGAAAGAATTGATTCAATGATGTGTCAGAGAACTCCTGCAACAACTCACGTCTCATCGCATCTGAAGATGCCATCTCCTTCAAAACCTCGGTTACAGTCACAGCGGTAGTCCCCATAGATATTGATGCAGGAGGCATTGGCGTTGCACTCGTGTAGGTTCTGCTGGCACTCGTCCACGTCGGGGCAGATGTCATAGGCCCAGGATATGGAGTGGGAGCTGGACAGGTTCCACCTTTCAACCAGGTGCTGGGAGCAGGTCATGTTGCCAGAGATATCTGCGGTTAATCAATGTATTCAATAGAGACACTGAAGATACAACATTTAAACAAACTTGATTAGTCAGCAAGATGTTCTTTATTTAATGATGTTTTTACTTGGCAAAGAAGGTGATGTTTGTTGATTTTTTTTTTACAATATACAAATGAGTTTGGGGATTAAACTATGCACAACCCATATCTAATGCTTTCTAGGTTTTACAATGAATCAAATATTTGTACAGCCAAAACACATAGAAAGATGAGTTAAATATCTTTAGGAAAACATAATCGGGGCAGGATCTAGAAAAATATTACAGGAAGAAATCATTTATTAAATAGTTATCTTACTATATTAAGTCTTTCTCATGCATGCATCTTTCAAAATATAACATATAAATTAATGTATCTGCAAATGTATGTGGTGTTCTTTCACTTAGTAAAATGAAAAAATAAGTATGTACACCCTGAAAAACAACAAGACAATGAAAAGGATGTTTTTGGCTGAAAGCCATCAACAGCAAAAACAATCAAGACAACTGAGAATCAAATCACAACTTTGCTTATTGATGTTTTTCAAATCCAGAATGAGAGCATTTCTAAGGAAGCATCTAGTAAAGTCTAATAGGAGCTAACACTGCATCAAGTCTATATATAAAACGTTTCATATCTTAAACAAAAGATAAATAACTCGAGCCGAACCTTTGAAATCTCCTTCTACACAGACACCCTTCTGGGCATTTTCTTCAAGGCTGCACCACCCACAACCAAACTCATTCAAACAGGAACCACAAGTTTTATGGCTTTCACATGAGCGGCAACGGAGAGTGGGGCCAGAGATGTCAATCCAGGATGTGCACTGGCCATAGTTGTACCGTGACACATAGTCAGAGAATGGCAGGCAGAGCTGGGTGTTCTCACACCATGCACATTCACCCTTCTCTGATGTGATACAGTCACTGCATTTTGTCCTTCTGTAAAACAATTAATTTGAAAAATTAATTATGAAAATGTTTGGGTTATCGTAATAATCAATTGTTACAAATGAAAATGAGTTTTCTTTAGCAATAACAGTTTTATTATGAGAGGAGAAAAAGAATATTTGCTAGATAAAGATAAGGATAGCTGTAAATATTGAGTCCTTTAACAAAACTAAGCATTGCTAGACAGAAATAAAATTATAGGTTAACTAGTTATAGTGAAATTCTCACTATTTTAAAATCATCTTCAATAATCAAATAATTGTATGAGACTGGACAGTTACTTTCATTCTAAGTATAAGTAACAAAAATAATGCTAGGAGACAACAGCAAAAAAATCTAAAGAGTTTACTCATGGCAGGGAGGTGGACATTTACTGCTATCTGTAACCGCCTTCTGTGGATGTCGTAATCTCCTTGTGCAGTGGCCGGTGTCTATGACCCATTCACACAGTGGATCCTGTCAAAATGAAGGTGAGAGCATTCAGAGAGGAGTTCAAATTAAACAGAAATATTTTTATTAACCACAGATGGGAGAATGATCATGATTAGAAAATTTTCAAAAATAGGTTAAAAAAAAAGAACAATAAATAAATTATCTGAATAAGGTTTTCATGTTAAGTTCTTCACATATATAGTTACAAACAATAGTACTGAAAAACAATATAGAGTATGTCAAAGAATATTTGTGGGAGTGCAGTAAATGGCCAAATACAAGTCAATGATGCTGTTTAAAGACATTCAACAGGGATTTCTTTGGCTGACTGAACAATTCCAAAATTTGAGTCCATCCTCCCACATCACTAATTCTAATTGCCCAACATTCATTAAAACAAATTATCTTGTAACCTAATACATTGCAACCCCGCCACAACAATCCTTTGGTAACTAAATTAAAGTTCCCAAGTTTTTACGTCATGGGGACACATTCCGAATTCTCTACAGAAGAAGTTTCCATCCATATTCATCAACTCACCGCTGCACAAACAGTGCACTGAACATAGCCTTCACATTCTGGACACTCTGAGGGTGAGGTGATCATATACTGGTGTTGATAGCCGTCCTTGCATTGGTCCTCACTGACATTCCGAGGCATACATGAGCGTTTGACCTCACACCAGCTGCACAGTGTGTCAGTCAGACAGCTGAGACAGTTGTAACTTGAACTACAGTTACCATTGCTAAGTGAGAGATGACAAACAAAGTAAAATAGTATTTTTTCATAGATAAATGAATCTATAATCCTACAATATTTAAAATTTAAGGCAAAGGATGAAAGAGAAATTTAATATAATTTAGTTCTGAAAATAAAGAAAGCAGGTCCATTGTGATGAGCATAAAATTTAATTTTTGTACAGTAATAATTTGCACCTGAATGGTTCTAAAAATTCATATGTTAGGGGACGAATCTTGTCACTGGAATTGAGATGAGCATTCCAGCCTATGGTCACTTCAGTGGTTGCTAGTTCAGGTGTGCGCCTCGTCTGCTCAGTCACCTGTAATGACAACAACAAAAAATATACCAAAAACTGCTGGAAGGATAGATTATGGTACATAACTGACCAGATATTAAGTTAAAAGGAAATCCTCTGGTAAGCTAATAATTTATAAATCGATATAAATGAACTGTAACTAAATGATAACACTACCAATATGAAATTGGCATGTGCAAAAGTTGTCTCCAATTTCTTGCCAGACAATATTTGAATCAGATGAAAAAATGGCATTTTGTTCAAAACATTTTATTTGGGATAAAGTTGCTGGTTAAAATTATTTTCATTGATTTTTAACCTTTCATACGTGATTAACTATCTTAAAATCTGACAGGAATATAATTTGCTCATATCTCTTATATTGTGTTTTGTTTCTCCATATTTTAAGTTACATCATCAGCACAGTCAAGACAAGTTTTTTGTTTGACCTGGTAATATTGACTACTTTCAGTTAAAGGATGCTTGTGAAAATTCAAATGATAATACTCTAGTTACTTGTTCAATGAAATACTTGTATCCTTTGGCCACAAAGGGGAATACTTTTCTGTTATATGCTCTCTTGGCTTGAATATTGTTGTATACTGCTTCCTCTTCCGTTTTGATCACCGATTCCTACAATAAATGATTTTTAATTTCATGGACATATTCAGCACAATGTAAAATGGATCAATATTTTAACAACTAAAAATCAGTTTGAAGAAATAAAATACATACCATATTTTAGGTAGATATGATGGAGACAAACTGCTTTTCTATTCACATTTTTAAGGAAATAATTATAGATTACCGGTTCATGCGTCAGCAAATATAGTATATGTCAGATATGAGAAAAAATATAAGTATAACAAAGAAACGGAAAACCTGAAAACAGTATGCAACAAAACAAACAACGAATGTGTCGACAAGAAGCCTTCTTTAGAGATTAAACGCCAGTAAAAACAATATAAACATTTAAAAAAACACATAGCTGCAAATGTAGTGTAATATTTGCGAGGACAGCAAAAGGAATGCCCTCTTGGATACTACATTGCTTAGGTGAGGACAGCAAAAGGAATGCCCTCTTGGATACTACATTGCTTAGGTGAGGACAGCAAAAGGAATGCCCTCTTGGATACTACATTGCTTAGGTGAGGACAGCAAAAGGAATGTCCTCTTGGATACTACATTGCATCGGTGAGGAAGGCAAAAGGAATGTCCTCTTGTATACTACACTGCATCGGTGAGAACAGCAAAAGGATCGTCCCCTCGGACACTAAACGGCAGCTATGTGTTTATTTTAGCTTGTTTTGTTGCGTTCCTTTTCATGTTTTCCCATACTTTGTTTCACTTATTTCCTTATACTTAACCTGGTTGCATTTTCACCCCTTATGTTCGTGAGAAAAATATGTATGAAACTCATTGTTTCAAAAGTGCTAATTCATTCTTTTGTTGCTATTGTATATCTTTTGAAGATACATAAATATTTTAGTGTAATTACATTTGTATTGAACTCGGTAACACAAAACCTATGCTGCCTTAATTGCATGATTTGAATCAATACAGTGAAAAATCACTGTTAATTTAACAATAGCAAGCACTGAACAAAACAAAAACATTATCTGTGGATGTAATTACCGTATTGGCTTCAGTTTGATCAGTAGACAAAAACATGTGTGCCTTGGCATGCTGGAGAGACAGGTACAAAGTCAAGTTTTCTGCATTGGCTGGCTGTGCATTTAATGGGTGGATGAATCCTAGAAATTTTGATGTATAGAAATACACATGTTCTATGCGCTTGCTTGCTATGTAGCCCATGGCACCCATCGTCTTGCGGTTTATGCTCAGCTGTAAATTGAAATATTTAAGTATTTTGGTATTTGCTCCTCTATTTACAAATATAATTTAAATAGTTATTGAATTTAATCCTCCTTGCCTCTTATAAGGAAAAAAATATAAATATCACATGATTAATAAAAAAATTGTAGCAGGCATCAATATAAGAAGGTGATACAAAATTATTGTTGAAAAACCCTTGTTAAAACTAAATAGTAACTTAAACAAGCCCTATAAAAGTAATGCTTTCAAATAATAAAAAAAGACTGTTGAATCAATTTTAACAATTACAAAAAGCAAGCCTCTCTGGGTTAAAATAACATACCTCATCTGGATAGGAATAGTTGGCTGGATCACGATACTTGACAAAGTGGAGCCCTGCAGGAATGTCTTCAACCTGGCACTGAAGCAGAGTTGTCAGGTTGGCACTTAAACCACCCCACCAACCCTGAATGCCTGATGTTGTTTCATTGGGAGCCATGCAAGTTCCCTTTGGAGCTTTTTTTTTTTTTTTTAAATGAAATAATAACAATGAAAATTATTTGTTCCTAACCATTTTGTTATTTTTCAACAAAAAGCCAGGTACTAAAACATATCTGACAACCACTGAAAAGGTATAATGCACATTTTTTTTTTTAAACAATGGACTGAATATGTCCTAATAATATTAAAATGCACAAATATGGCTGTTTACAGTAATATTTTGTTCTTTTTGTGTTTTCAAATCTCTTCATTACCAATAATGAAAATTTTATTAGTATGTCAAAATATTAAATTTTGAGATTTCAACAAATATTTTTCAGAGCATCTTATTAAATTTCTACATAATATAATATATATTTGCAGCAATATGTTTCAGAGCATCTTATTAAATTTTTACATAATATAATATATTATGTAGAAATTTAATAAGATGCTCTGAAAAATATTTGTTTAAATCTCAAAAATCTCAAAATTTAATATTTTGACATACTAATAAAGTACATATTATATTTTATTCTTACCTGACCGCTGCTGACATTCAGCTTCTTTTACACACCAGCTACACTCTTCAATGTATATATGTCTGCGTGGAAATTCATCTGTAAGGTCTGCCCCCTTTCCTTGACTAACACATGCTCCGCATGTATGAAGAGCCGGACATATGCCAGGGCAACGATCAGATGGGTTATGAACCTGCCCGGCACAGAGCTAACAGAAAGGAGAGGAAAAAAATCTTGTGTTTGCATTTTAAAAAAATTCATCTACATCACATCGTACACAACATTTTTTTGATTACTTTTCAGCTATAAAGATAATTTTGTACTCTATAGAAGATAAAAAATTTACTTCTTTCAAAATTTTGAAAACATGATGTTACCTCTATACGTGACCTATGAATGCAACTTGGGCTCTCCCTATCAGCTAGGGTGTGATTACAAAAGACACATTCGGGATCATCTTGGCACAAACGTTGATTGTGACTAGGATATTTCTCACAATGATCACTGAGGAAACTTGCATTGTCTTCCATGGGACAAACTCTGTTGTTGTGCAACGAGCACTTCATGAAAAAAGAAATTAAAAGAATTTAATAATTTTCCAATTTTGATTTTTACCATCAATCATTCTGTATTAATGTTTAGACTGATTATTCTTGTAAGCATATCTAAGCTATTATTATTATAATACAAATTAACATTTAAAAAAAGCAATGAGCTTAGATATTGCATAACCAACTTTCACAAAACACAGCAAGAAAAAAAAATATCCTTATTTAAGCATGTTCATTATCAAAAAAAGAAAAATTAAAATAGATGGCTAAAAAAATTATAAAGACCTTGTAGTCTGCTATTGCTGAGGGAACTTTATAAGCTATAAGGTCTCCCAGCACTTGACCAGAGTATCCTCCCATTATAAACATAATATTGCCATTAGCTGCAACTGCACTGTGACCAAATCTTCCTTTGACTGGCATTCCTTCAGGAGTGGAATTTCCTGTTGTTTTTTAAAAGAGGTTTTCAGTTATTTTTTTTTAAATTCAGACTGCATGAGATGCTTTGATATGAATAGTAAGAAATATTGGATTTTTAACACACAAAAAAACAAAAAAACCCAACAAAAAAAAAACAATTCATTATGAAGTATATCACGAGTTCCAAAAACAAGCAATAAAATTCAAATAAAATAATCACAAATAATTATTTCTTCGTTAATTGCAAATATTGACTTGTAACACAGTGAAAAATATTAAACATTTGAGTTTAAATTTTCCTTTTCAAATTCATTGTATATAAATCATTCTATATAGAACCTCAAGACCGGTTCATTTTTAAGGATCGTTTGTGCATTGCCAAGTAATTTATGTTTAGTTTGATTCAGTAGTATGGTTATCTAAATTATACCCTTAAAGCATGCAACCGTTTTAATATGTCTTACTAAACTGAAACATAAATATTTGTTTACAATAAAAAAATAACTACCCGGTAATGCAAAGCTTTCCTTACCATTAAAAAAACTGTGGTTAAGCCACACGTGGCATCCCAAATGATAGAAGAAGATCTCTTCACTATAACAGATTTCCAACTCTTCATGCTTGTGGGTATTGCCCCCATAGACAGCCAGATAGTTTCCTATCAGGACAGCTGTGTGGTAGGCCCGATCCCTTGGTATTGAATCTTTGCGCCAGTTGTGGTTGTACAGCTGTGACCAGTAGCTATCATCTATGTGGAACACTTGAATCTTACTGGTTCTGTCACTAATGAGGGCACTTTCTTGCTTGTATCCACCGAACACTATCAGTGATCGCGAATGTTTGTGATACAAGGTGGTGTGGCCCACTAGGCGCTTGGGTGGGTATTTCCCCCCTTTTACCAAAACATGCTCCCAGTTTTCAGGAGACTTTGCTGAAATTCTGAAAATGGAATCGATGTAAATTCTCTGTTCTGATTTTCCTCCGACGACATACAAGTAGTCCCCGACGGTTGTCAATGTGTGGTCTGTTATTTTCTCAGGCACAATTTCACTTTCGTTAGCGCAGAGAGACCATGCCATGGAGGATATGTTGAAGAACCAAAGCTCATTGCTATGCGATCCATCACTTAGGAGGCCACCAAAGATAAAGAAGCCATCACCGTAGACATCCATGGCGTGGCCACTTCTGGCTTGAGGCCAGTCTCTTTCACCCTTTTGATGAAGTTTGTTCACACTCTCCCAGGCGTTTTCAGACATGCAGTATCGCAGCAGTTCATCCATGACTGTATTGAGGTCAAAACCACCAAACATCCATATACAGTTACTGGCATACACTGACGTGTGCGCTGTGCGGGGTGAAAAGCTGCCACTGGCAACATCTTGGATCGAGTACCAGTGACCTTGGTCTGCAGTACTGTGGATGTGCAGGTCGCATTTCTGGCCAATATATCCATGTTTACAGTGGCAATACTGCAGCTTGTAGGAATGGAACTTGCACTCTCCATGCTCCCCACATTCAAATGGGCAGTCAGTAACCTGGAAATTTATAGTAATTAACAAGTCAGTTTGGTTCATATAGCATGTTCAGTCTGCCAGCAATTAAAAAGTCAGTTTGGTTCATATAGCATCATGGGCGCCCGCAGGTAGGGGCAAGGTGGGGCACTTGCACCCCCCCCCCACTGGATTGATTGGATAAAAAAATTTCAGACAAAAATAGACAAAAAATTTATTAAAGTAAAGAGAAAATAAAGAGAAAGTAACTAAGCTGATGTCCTGTCCATATAAAAAATTACCAAAAAAAAAATGCCCCCCCCCCCCGGAAGTTAATCGATTTTTTGCCCCCCCCCCCCTAGAAAGTTTTCTGCGGACGCCCATGTATAGCATGTTCAGTCTGCCAGCAATTAACAAAAATAAAAGCAATAATTTAATAACTAGCAGTTACAACACAAAAATCCCTTAAATCTTAAAGCTTAATAAACATGATGAATGATTAATTTTACCTCACAGCCATCTCCACTATAACCAGCATTGCAATGGCAAACATGATTTTTACAGATGCCTCTATTACTACAGTTCCAAGGGCAGTCCAAGATTTTGTACCTGGCATCAAAGCCAGGTCTTACATAATTGCGATCACTGAACAGATACAGTAGCATCTAAACAAGAAAATAACAGCATTGTGTATAGAAGAAGAAAACATTCTCAACTATAATTTTAACTGAAAGTTTGTTAAAATGTCTTTTTTTATTTACTAAAACGATCAAATTTGATTTAAAATATATTAAGACAATAGGAATAGTAGAAAATTGTATGCATCATTAGCAAAAATTCTCAAATTTAAAAGCAGTGGTTTAAATATTTTAATTTATCCTCAAATTAAAATTGTTAGCATCATGAATTAAAAATAAACAAATTTTTGTTTCAATAATTAAAAATCATTTTCTGCTAAAGTGATTTGAATTTAAAACATATTACTATAAATTAATTTTTGAAAACAAAAGTATATTTTACTGAAATGACAGAATAATCTTACATATCCAGAATGTGCAGTAATGGGTGTAGGATGGCTGTCACCACTGAGTGTTGCAATCAGTCGACTATTATAGGATTTACCATCATAGATAAAAAGGTAGTCAAATGAGCATTCAGTTGTCATATTTTCAAATATCAGATGTATGGTCTTGTTTGGACTGCCAGCTGAGGTTAGAAGTAAAGACATGTTGCATTACAAGCCTGAAAGAGCTTAACAGGCATATTTTCATATGCAAATTTATATTAACCCTGTGAAAGTTAGACAAATATTAACAAGAAATATATTTCTATTCCTTATAGTAATTTTGAAAAACAATGAAAAGAAAAAATTTCTTTTTCAGAAAGGTCTTTAATTTAAAATCATAAAAAATCCAACTCAAATATTTTTTTAGAGGATAGTTTGTTACTACCTTAGAAATAAATGAAACATTAATGATCTAAATAATGTATCAATAATTATGTGCCCATTTCTTGACATGGTAGTCAGGCACAAAAAACTTCTAAATCTTCTATTTGAATCAATATAGCAGCTTTTATACATTTTAGACTAAGTAATAACTAAATAATTATGTGACTATTTTTTGAAATAGTGACTATTTTTTGAAATAGTGACTATTTTTTGAAATAGTGACTATTTTTTTAAATAGTGAGTATTTTTTGAAATAGTAGGCAGTAAAAACTTCTAAATCATCTGGAACAATCAATACAGCTAGCTTATACATACCATCAATGAGCCACTCGCATTTTAAGTATTCTGTATAGTTCGACGGTCCATCTGATATTAGCCCCTCCTTGTCATACAAGATCTTTCGCCCACTGCATCTTTCAGCATTTCTATAGGCTTGGCCTCCTCTTATCAAAAGCAAGCTCAATAAATTCAGCCCGATAAACAGGCCTACCACAGTCATCATGTGGGCATTATTAGATGAAGATCCACAAGTCCCCCTCCAAGTGTTGAGTGGGTATGTCAAAGCAGGCTCAGTAATTTGAGCCCAACAAACAGACCCACTAAGGTCATTATGTGGGCATCATTAGTTTGGGAGCCACCAATCCCCACAAAAGCTTGGATGGCCACTCAGGATGCCATTATATAAAATGTTACAGGATTTGTGAATTCAGAAGCACACATGGTGCAGCCATTCTGAAATCACACAAGACTTTTGATTGTGATAGTTATTCTGTGGAGATGCAAATTTGCATACGGTCAAACAAAATGGTACATTCTATGTATGGAAATAATCATTTTAGTAAAACATCTTGAAATAAGGATACGGTCTATTAAATAAAATTATTAATCTTTTTACTATGTAGAGCTTATCTACAACAAACCTTTTTTTTTAACGTGGCAAGCTTTATGTTTATATTAAAAGATTTCTTGATAAATTCAAAAAATAAAAATGCATTTTACATTTTTTTTCAAAATAGCTTTAATTGTTTTTAATTATCTCCATCTTTATTGACCTTTATTGACAATTAATGCCATTTATGTGGTCATTCTATTGTGAAAGTGAGATAACAACTAAAAATGAGTGAAAATTCTGACCTTTTAGAAATGATGCCATATTGAAAATTTGTTATGATGTTATATTAAAAAGGAAGTGATGCTAGAAGAAATACCCCTTAGTATCCTAGGACACTTTTTTTCCTTATTCCCTTTCAACTAAGTTAAGAAAGATAAATTTAAATGCAAAGATTCTAATTATAACTTGCTAAGCATATAATATTTTATGCAATATATGTATGCTTATAAGTTATGGCAAGCTCCAACTGCATCAATATGTATTTAACTAAATTCTTTATTAGGCTATAGAATTAATGTAATTTGAAACAATAATTCGCAATAGGAAATGAATATTTTAGGTTATTTTATGTAGTATGTGTTTTAACTACTCTTGTAGCCTATAACATACCGTACATAATTACTTTGACCCTCGAGTCCAGATCTCACTATACTTCTGAACACTTTAGAGTAGGCTATGAGTAAAAAGAACTAAACAAATTTAAAATATGAACTTAAATGTCAGTTAAATTGCATAGGCCTAATGAAACATTATCATGCTGATAATGCCCCCAATATTATTTAAACCTAATGATACCTATTGAACAAGACCTTGGAAATAAGGAACAGTAGGGGACACTGAGGTCAATTTACACAATCCTCACCACTTTAAGTTTCTGTGTAGAATTCTCCCCTTTTGTTTATTCTTGGATTGAGTTAACTTTTCTTTTTTTAAATATTTATATGCCCATGGAATGTTTCATAACTAATATTTAATTGGGTGGTTAACCATTCTTCTTCTTCTATATTTTGAGGGCCCGCGATTAATGCATGAATCACTCTGTCTCCTATGTTTGTTGAGGGGTTCCCGATGTAACTGCATATGGTTTTGAAAAGGATACCTCACTGGTTGCAAGGGCTACTTAGTAATGGTATTAAGAACTAGGAGGTTGGAAGGCAAATGTGTCAAGTGTAGTCGTCTCAACTGTTGATTTTGGAAGCTTCTTCCAGTCCATGATTGTCTTAGCCAGGAATGAGCAGTTCCTGAACTGAGTTCTTGTTATTATAAGCAGGAACTGCCTGTATAGGGGGGGAGAGGGACGAGTTTCTGTTTAATACTGGAATAGTGGACAGCCCATTTATTATCTTGTACATAATGGAGAGCCTGGATATTTATTGCTGTTCCTCCAATGGTGACCAGCCCAATGTTTCCAGCATGCTGCCAACAATTGAGGTATTCCTGTAGCAGTTCAGAAAGTGTGCTGCCAATCCCTGGACCGCCTCCAACCTGTTGATGCGCTTCTGGGTGAATGGGTTTTAATGGGAGATCATTATAATATCTAAATCTAGATTTAAACTTTTTCCGAAATCTCGGAAAGGTATTTATTTTTTGGATTTTATTTTTGGTGAAAGTGTATTCTATGAAATTGTAAGTTTGGTTTTCATTATTTAAAAAATATTTGGTACAGTATTATTTTTATTCATTTTACACTTTTCTCATAGCTGTTTATAACTTAAGCACACATTTCAGTTGAGGGTAAGCTACTACAGGTTATTGACACTCCTTGCTGCATATCTAAGTTAGCCACAATTTATGTACCGGCTGAAATTAAGCCATTCAATTTCAACTTTTTGTTTCTATTTTCGTTTCTCTCTGTAAGTAGCTAAAACAGTATTTTCTCTCTTTTACCATCCCATTTTAGCAGATGTGTGTTTGCAATAATTTTTGTTACACTCTTGCCATCATGGTTGCTATGACACATCTGCCATCATAATAATCAAGATGGCGACCGTGGGAAATAGGTAATGCAGATTGCATAAATTTACCACAATTGAAAAAGGAACAAAACAAATTTGCAGTTTCTTCTAGAACCACACACAGCTTGCAACAGCCAATAGTAAAATGTATTTTATTTGTCATTTTTCTTGTTTTAATAGTTCGCTGAAGAACGATTTTTGCCTTCACATTCTTTGTTTTTTATTCAATTTTTCCCATAACTTATGTTCCATATTACCATTTTTTAATTTTTTAATAGAACTATTCACCATATTATTCCTTTTCAACTAAACCATACTGTAAGAATAGGTATAATAGTTATAAAAAGGAAAATCTGTGGGGGAGCCAGGGCTAGGCTCACCCGGGGCGGTAAACTCATGGTGTCATCCCCCCCCCCCCCGACTTCCACTATGGATTTTTTGTTTAGTTAAAATAAGTCAACAGTATAACCATGACAAAACAAAAACAAATTAATTGAATGTCGGGAGCTAAATGTATTTAAGAATTGTAATACCGTTAAGTTATTGTTATTTTTACATTAAATTTACTTTATTTAAAATTGCCCTTTCCTCGTCTTCAAAGCTTCAAAGCTGTCAATCACTTGATCAAAATCAATATCATTCACCATATCATTTGCAAATGATAGTAAAGCCAGATCAGAAAACCTTGACTGTTACATGGTGTTTTGTTAATAGTTTTTTGATAAGCCTTAGTTTTGAAAGCTCTGCTCACATGAAGCCACAGACACACAGATCTTAAGAAAAATTGAAGGCTCAACGACAGTGTTGGAAGAGATTCTAGGAAGTCCCATTCAGCTATGAATTTCTAAACTGACTAATCAAATACTGACCAGTCCATGACTTTGTTTAATCATTATAAGTTGCAGTTAGGTTTCTTGTAAACCTTGGTATTTCTTCTTCTATATCTTAAGGACCCACGATTAAATGTATTAATCATTCTGGCTCCTATTTATGTAGAGTGGATTCACGGATTTCCTGTTCCTGGTACTGAAGAGGATATTTCAATGGTTGAAAGGGCTACTAAGAGAGGGTATCAGGAACTGGGGGTTGGAAAGCCTGAAGCAATAGTCGCAAATCTCTCAAGTGTTGTCGCCTCAACTGTTCCTTTTGGAAGCTTGTTCCAGTTCCTGAACGGTTTTTGCAGGAATGAGCTGTTCCTGTACTGTGGTCTTGCTGTTATGAAATGGAACTGCCTGTCACGACCTCGTCGCTGTCTAGGTGGGAGAGGGACAAGTTTCTGTTTAATGATGGAGCAGTGGACCAGTCCATTTATTTATCTTGTACATCGTGGAGAGCCTGGATAATCGTCATCGATCCTCCAATGGTAACCAGCCCAGTTTTTCCAGAATCCTGCTGCAACACTTAAGGCATTCCTGTAGCGGTTCAGGACAAAGCGTGCTGCCCGTCGCTGGACCGCCTCCAACCTGTCGATGCTCCTCTTTTAAAAGTTCATCATAGAAAGAGGTTAATTTTGGAACGGACACCAATACCTCTTCTTCACTTGCTGCTAGTAGACTCTTGGGTTGATTAGCTCCAAACATATCTGCTGCTTCCTTGATCGCTAATGAACTGATTTGGGGTTCAGAATGAAAGCGATCACTACACTCAATCCTCTCCCTACTGTTTCTTCTCACAGAGAGAGTCCAGCATATGTTAATTGTTCTCCTGCCACCCTTTTTCAATTTGGTGTCACCCCTGAGATGGTGTCACCCGGTGCGGTTTGCACCCCCCTAGCTACGCCACTGAGGTATATGCCTATAATTCATTATATAATAGCTTGAAATAATCTGCCAAAACAAAAGCGGCGACAATGCTTGAACTTCCCATCTACTTAAGTAATTGACAAAACAAGCATTCAAGTAATGCACTTTATAAGAATCTCAATTAGTGTTAACCTCTGGCAATTTAATTTAACACACCTATTGAACACAGTGTCACAGCCATTCATACTGCCTGGAGTGAGTAAATTATTTATAATAGTATCTTAGTGATGAATCTTAGTCTGTTAGCAGTTTGCCTATAGTACGCATTTATAAATCTATTACTTTAACATTTTAATGGTATTTTTTAGACTTAGACAGATGAGATAGAGTAGATACTGCTGTAAAGCAAGGGAGACTACTTCAAAATTTGTATCGGAAATGGGCGTCGGCACAGTAAAATCCGCCTTTTTTAATTTTTTAATGTGAGTGTCAATTCATTAATAAATGAGTCGTTTTGACAAATAGATGTGTTCCGCTTCCGCCATTTCACTTTGGAAGACATCTTGGCCTACATTTCCATCCAGCTATTTTGTTTTTTCAATCGGCCTTTATTTAGAAAATCTTTGCTATATATAAGGCATCTTCGCATACAAAATTTTTTGTGAAATAATAAGATAAGGTCCTTTTTTATTAAATCTGTAGAAGCATTAGATATTGATCTATAACTATGCCAGTTCTCATTGAGGTAGGTTGTGTTGTGTCCAACGTTTGTAACGCTTGTCCCCCATGACCCATATCATCATAAGATCGCTCAGCCTAATTTCGACATGGCGTGGGCCACGCCCCCTTTTTTAATGGCAGAAGATGTCGATACTTTGGAAACATTTAATTATTACCACTATATACATCAAAATATTTGATAACTTGTGTTTCAGAATGCATTTTGAAGACATTTAAAGTGGAATGTTTTAATTTGAGCTTTAAAAACCCTGTAGAGTCCATATTATAAATGATCAGAATTTTCTGTGTGCAACACGTTGTCATAGGCAACCATTCACAGCCACTTGCATAATGGCTTTATCGTAGTACTATCTCAGAGTTTCATTCATAAGAGTTTGCCGTATGCAAAAACTATTAAACCATTGGTCAGGGAAAGCTTTAATTAATTATTCATGTGCCAAAGTTGAAAGTTTAAAATAAGTTGACCCTAAACAGTATTTTAGTGATAAGGGGATGCGTTGCCTTATATAAACAATATAGTCATTGCGCATGACGCAATCGGCGGAATGAGGTCACAAGATGTGGAGGTTTTGTCCATAGTAAAAAAATACCAAACGAACTCACACTTCAAAAATTCGTACCTCAAAAAGTACTTAAGCTAAAAAGTTGATTCTGGTTTCATTTTTTTACTTGAAATTTGCTCTAAATAACTGTAATATCAAAAAAAATATTTTTAATTTTTTAACTAAAGTACCTAGATAGAGCTAACTCAGTAACACTATTTAGTAGAGTCTAACAGTACTAACACCACTAGCAGTGAACAGTAATCTTGTACCTGAATTGCTACCTGACTCTGACATTATACTTTATACACTGTCCAAAATCCAGCTTAGGACTATATAAATGCAGAAAGATTTTTACCAGCCTAATTTTTGTACACACAACTTCATTCTTAATTTTCCAATTTAAATCATTTTCACGAAAGACTGTCAAAATTCAAGCTAAATAATAACTCACCACATAAGATTAATTAAGTGATTGAGTCTGATAATCTGATTTGACTTGACCATGACTGAAAAGTTTGCCTTTTCTTAGACATATCTATCATCAGGGCCTGCCTATCAACTCATTCTCATTCTAAGAAAAACTATTAGTTTAGTGAACTCAATTTCAGAGCTAGGTCTAGATAGACTTTTGGGATATGAAACGTTCAATTATTAGGTAGAGAAGATGGGACTGAAAATTTTCAGTTAATACAATAATGCCTAAGAGTAGTGAGCGACGATGGTCCGGAGTTTCAGACTTTTTTAGATTCAGATCATAATCATTACTACCACCACTGCCACTGACCACTGTACTACACTGACACCACTGAGTGACCACTGCTACGACTACGAGTACGAAAAAATTGAACAATGAAAATTTAGTTTCAAGTACCCTTTCAAAAACAAAAACAACAAATTGGAAATTATAATTCTTTATAAACATACCTATCTGCGTCATTACATTTTCCAGAAATAAAACATACAATTAAATTTATAACAATTTCATTGTTTACTTTTTCTACTCCAACATAGAATTTGTCATTTTACTTTAATGATAAGCTTACTTCCGCTGCCTCGGAGTTAGTGCTGACAAGGATGCCATTGGTTGAAATTCATAAATGGGCTATTTGGAATACTTAGATAATATATAAATTTTGGGCTATGATAAAATTTTAATTGAATCTTTTTCAAGCTTCCAATATATACTGACAGCTTTATCAGTGGTATTTAAGAAAAATGTGTGTGTTACAAAATCAAAAAGAGAATGAGGGAGGATTAGAGAAAAATTAGAAGCTAATTGCTAATGGCCCGTTTTTTTTGAATTGTAGGCTATGTTTACCGTTTTTAAAATAGGAATATATATATATATATATATATATATATATATATATATTTAAAAAAATAATGACACATAAACTACTAACTACTTAATGAAAAATATTATTCGTTAAACTTCAAACCATATTCATTCATATAAAGAGTTATTAAATTAAATAAAGGGAAAAGAAAACTTTAAGATGACAATATGAAATCAAGTTATATTAACTTATGGCTTAATTTATATCAAACCACATTTATGGATTAATCAATATAAAAATTTAACCCACTTGTATTGTTTTGCTTTACATTTAATATATGATGAAGTTATACAAAATGAGAAGATGTGCATTAAAAAAGTGTTATAGAATAGTTTTGTATGTCTTTGTACTTATAGTATTATTGGATAAAAAGCATTTCTCTACTGAGTCTGTTGTACATCTTATGGTATAGCATAACGGAATTACAAAATTATAATATGAGTTCAATATTTACTAACTAACGCCATCAACCAAATAGTAACATATAATTTAATATAAATAATTAGGAAACATCAATAAATTACGTTTCTCTATTGCCCTTTCAAGCATTAGTATTATCAGATATTGAGAGGTTTAAAATAATGTGCAACCAACATTTACATACACCGTAAGCATCATTTTGCTTCCTTAAACTTTGACACAGAAGAAGTTGGGATCGAAGGACACCAAGAGCAAAAGAGTAGGCTAGTTAATTAAATAATGTATTTCATTACCAGTGAAACTTCACTAATTTTGAGTTCGGCTAATTAACTCTTTTTTTTTTTTACTGGTCTTATGCATTGGCCTTCATGATATTGTGCTTGCTTCGAAAGGACTTCTAAAATAATTGGTTATGGTGACATCTCACTGTGGCCACGACCTACTTTAAGTTTAAGCCTACTATAGAACTCTGTACTGTACTCTAGTTAAGTTAGTGGAAGTGGGTCATGGTATGGCTCTGGTCCTGGTTACAACCTTCTGTGAAGTGTGATGTCACCCTGTTCTTGTGGCACCCTGCTTTTTGTGGGGGCATGGGTCTGGTAGCAACTGCTCTGATGACACCTTATTCTAGAGGAAATTTGCTGTCTGTCTGCTGGGCTGGTACACACTGTACTGTTGGCAACCTGCTCTGGATGGAAACCTGCTCTTTTATTCATTTTCCTGATATGATTATTAATTATTTATTATTATGATACAACTCAATCTGACTCTTACTTTAAAATTATCAATTTTTAATTTGTTAGTTGGAGGCCACTCACTCATACTCATTGTTTTGAGACTGACAGTTATTTGAGTTCTATTACTATTAGTATTAGTATAGTATAATTATTAGTATTAGCCACTCCAATTCCAATTCTATTACTATACTACTATACTATGATCTGATTTGATTATTCCTATTTCCTTATTTATGCAGTAACTGTGAATGAGCCCAAACTTTCACAATTACATCATAAATTTATACAAATTTATGACCAATAAATTATTAAAAACATTATTATTAAAATTAGCCCTATATTTACAGCTTGACTTATCATAAAATGTACCCTAATTTTAAAAAAATTAACCCTTACGGTACTGACCTACTTTTTGCTTTTATTGCCTCAGTACCGGCTATTAATTTGCTAATTATTCCCTGTGGCCCAGACATTATTTTGGAATGAGTCAAAATTTGATAGGTCTGGTAACTTTTTTGTTTTAAACAATTGATAATAATATGTAGAGAATTATCTGTTCAGAAATGCATAAGGGTGTTAAAATAGCACTTCTAATTCCGATTAAAGCTCAATAATATTTTCAGAACAAAATGTTTCATCAAGTGGGTGTAAGTCGCCATGAACAATAGTGATAGGTAGCACCATGGAAACAACAAATACAGATCCGCTAAAAAAACTCAGTAATTGGTCGATTTTCATAATTTAAATGGCAAATTAAAATTTGACTATTCTCCTAACGAATAAACCTTCTGCCTGAGACTAAGGTGAAAGGTTATATATCCTCGTTTCTGAGTTTATATTAGATACCCGTCTATGTGGCAAATAGACGCGCTTGGACCACAGGGAAAACAATCGGCTGGTGAAAAAAGATGCGCTTGGGTCACAGTGAAAAAGTAGGTCACTGCAAAAAGACGCGCCAGTGACTTTAAGGGTTAAGTAGGCTATAGTTATAGCTGTACTTTATAAGTATAAGCCTTTAAGCTGATTTTAAAGTTCAACCTGGGTTGTGTGGTTCCTAAAATTATAAAACTGAAATATTTATTTAGTAGCCTATACTTGGTAGTTAACTTGGGAAGTACTCAGCTTAAGGTTCATTGCTTAATGCACCTGCCATAATTACACCAAGTTGTTCTTTTAATGTAGGCCTATTTGTTTGATTGTTTATATTTAACCTAAAAATATACAAAGCTATCGCATTTTTACTATGAATTTTTTTTTTTACACACTTGCCTCACTTAGTTTGACATTTGGTTGATTCACAAGGCAATGAACAGTTGCTGTGTATTATATTTTCTAAACCTTTTTCCCCCCAGATTAAGCAAAACATTTGTCTTAACAAGTGTCAAAAAATATCAAAATGGGTTATGCAACACTAAATCTTGAAAATCCTGTCTTTCGGCAATTCATTGGCTATGCAGCTTTGGTACTTGTAAAGACATGTTTAATGAGTAGTATTACAGCATATTATCGCATTACTAGAAAGGTAATTTCTATTTATATTTAATTTTTTAAAAACTTTTAAGAGGTTTTATACAAATTTTGACAGTAATAGTAAATAATATGTGGCATGATTGAGCCTGGGCTTTTATCTTAATAAATATTTTAGAGGGAATAAATTATAGGTGTAACTTTTTACTATATCATAATCATTTCTGATAAAAGACAGTCTCTGAAGTAAGATAATTAATTTGATTCATTAAAAGATGGTTAACTATTTCCTTAAAAGGTAAATAGAAAGTCATGATTTTGTTTTTGCTGTTTTTGCAAGAGCAAGAATAACTTATAATTTGATAAACAAATTTTTTTTCTAAAAGGCAGCAATTTTTTTTTCATGCTCATTCCTTTTATTCAAGTTTTTTTTTTTTTATTCTTCAAAATTTTTTAGATTAAAAAGACAGTTTAAAGTATGTCATTTTTATTTCTCTAGTAAATGATATTCTCTATATTTTTATCAGGCATTCATCAATGAAGAAGATACTGCATCATTTGGAAAAAAACTGCAGGTAGTCTTAAATAATCCACAAGTAGAAAGGGTTCGAAGGTTAGTGTTTAAAGTACTTGAATATGTTGATATCTGCATTTACACCTGTGTTGCTTTTTGAAAACAAAAATATGAGCAGCATTATGGTTAACATTTAGCGTTTAATGTTAGTGTTTTTGTATGTAAGTGGGCAGTCCATTTGAAGATTTCTAGTTAAAATATGAAGTTATCTCATGGGGAGTATTTTCTTGTTGCATTTCTTTTGTTCCAGTGCCTGGATATGCCTTTAAAATTTAGTACTGGGTACATACTGTCCCATTATTTATTAAAAACTATTAGCTGATGTATTCTGTTTTGCTTATAACATGCAGTTTTCACTTTAATTTAACAGATGCCATCTGAATGATCTTGAAAACGTCATCCCATTTGTTCTGCTTGGTCTTCTTTATGTTGCCACTGGTCCCAATCAAGCAGCCGCTTCTCTTCATTTCAGAATTTTTACAATAAGCCGCTACATTCACACGTTTGTTTATTTGTTAGTTGTACCTCAGCCGGCTCGAGCCCTGGCATTTGCTGCTGGATTGTTTGTGAATATCTCCATGGTTTACAGCATCTTAAGCCAAGCTTCTTTTTAAGGAGCAGCTGTGTTTGTTCAGATGTTCTGTCGCCAATCCAATTACCATTGATCACAGTTTGCCACTAAATAATCCCCTTTGTGGTAACTTTTGGGGTACCGGTATAAACGATTATACTTTTTCATTATGTGAGTCAAGATTTTTTTTTAAACACCCCCCCCCCCCCCCCAAATTCCCTTACTAGCAAATGTTTCCATTGAAAATTATACACAAGCTGTATTATAGAGTTTTTGCTGTAATGCTACCTTTTATCACAATATCAGGTTCACACACAGGGAAGTAGGATTGTGAAAGCAAAAATACATTTTCTAAACCAACCCATATTTAACATTTTTCTTTATTTATATCACTTATATTGATCAGATTTTTTTTTTTTAAACATCTATACAAAGCATTTTAATCAAAATTAAATGTTCTGTCAGTGAGATTTTTTTTAACTTTAAAAGATTTATGTCTTTTGAATATAACTGAAATCATGTACCGTATATACTCCCATATAAGCCTACATCGCATATAAGCCGACCCCCTAAAACTGCTTTAAAATGGCCAGTTTTTGCAAAAACCCGCATATAAGCCGACTATACAATTTTCTATTTTTTCGTGTCACTCTCACTTTATTCTATGCATTTGCGTATCGAGTATTAGTTAGGAAACCATGGATATAGGAAACTTTTTCTGGTTTTTTAGTATGTTTTCTTAATTTTATGCAATTTTTGACTTCGAAAATGAATTCTCTATGGTAATATTCATACTCAGTATAATTATCAGCTATGCATACATTAAATTCTTTGAAGTGACACCTCTGTATATATATATATATATTAGTACTCTGTACACACAACCAAATAAAGAGTCAGGTAGCGATGAAAATGTGTGGCTGGAAAATTGGCATTAGTGTCTGTCCTTGTGTCCATTTTGTTTTATGCGCATATAAGCCAACCCTCTGATTTCAGTATTGTATTTTCTAGTTCTAAATTCTGCTTATATGCGAGTATATACGGTACCTCTTATTACCTGCCCATTTCTGAATTTAAAAGTTTATTAAACAGACTTTTCTTTTAATTTATTTACATTTGACTTTTAAGGTATCCACAATGAAGTGACATCATTTGCTGCCTGTTGAGATAAATAATTGAAATAATACTTTTCCATTATTTTGAAATTTACATACGGTAGTTGTGAGCTTATTGATAGTACAATGAAATAATAACTATGATTTTGATGAGATGAAATTAATTTTAAGGAAAAATTGTTGAATTTTTTTTTTTTTTAATGTTGATTGTATCAAGTGCAGCAGATTGACAGGTCTTTAAAAAAAAATATTTTAAAAAAAATTAAACTCCATCAATGTTGTTTTATGTCTCTTTCTCAATCAGCATTTTTATTGCGGGATATTTGAAACATTCCAGTTTCCAGTACATAACTGAGGCAGGGTTAGAGAGTTCAATGTGTCATTATATGTCTTGGGAAATTTCTCTATGTACATATATCATGTGACATACATTATTGGTATCTGATCCTAACTAAAAACGTTTTAGACAAGATGTCTTTTTTTGTTGTTAGTATTAGTCAGTTAGGGGTTGGTTAACCCTACTGAGTTTAGCTAGTGAGACATTATATATTTGCTAAATTTTTTAATGGACCTTGTGACCTACAACTGTTTAAATGAAATTAACTGTTTTTATTTGGGGGAAGGGTTTATTAAGCTGAAGACATTACTTGAATCATCTTTTTTACATATTGAATAAATGAAGACCTTAAAGTCTGGAGTTAAGAATTTTCAATTGTTATTTTTTTCTCTTATAAATTTGTTTAAAATGCTGTTAATACAAATTAAATATAATTTAATAATTATTTCAGTGTTTTTTTTATATATATAAGGAAAATGAAATGTCTATGGACAGAAGTTGTGATAGTGGATTGTCCCATTATATTGATCTCTCGAGCTATCTGAAAAGAGCTGATTCACACATAACTGATTTCCAGTCAAAGAAATGGGACTAGACACACTCAGTGTTGTGTAAATCTTTCCTAAATGAATTTCCCATGTGGTCCATTGCTTCCACATTTTTGGGCAAGGAATTTCCCATGTGGACCATTGCTTCCACATTTTTGGGCAATGAATCTCCCATGTGGTCCATTGCTTCCACATTTTTGGGCAATGAATTTCCCATGTGGTCCATTGCTTCCACATTTTCTGGCATTCTTGTAAGTGTTAGTTTAGGTCACCTGACTGTACATGGTCACGTGTCAGCAAAAGGTCACTTGTCAGTATTTGGTCAGCTGTCAGCACGATATTACGTTTCAAGAATAGAGTAGTTATCTAATTCTAATTCAACTGAATTGCGTAAGATAACTGAAAATTTAAAATATAAGTTAAAAATAAATCTAAAAAAAGTTTCATGAGTTATTTATTCGAGAAGACACACCATCAGCTTTTCTTCTGACCCTAACTCTACTTCTAGTCATCTTTAGAATTCTAGTCTCATACCCATGGTATGTATATATAATTTTAGGTGAATGTTGTGGTGCCGTAGCTAGGATTAGTGCTACCCAAGGCACCCTCTCCCCCCCCCCCAAAAAAAAATCAACAACAAGAACACTGCAACTTCTTACCCTAACTCTACTTCTATTCATCTTTAGAATTCTATTCTCATACCCATGGTATGTATATATAATTTTAGGTGAATGTTGTGGTGCCGTAGCTAGGATTAGTGCTACCCAAGGCACCCTCTCCCCCCCCCCCAAAAAAAAATCCACAACAAGAACTCTGCAGTTGGCCAAAATGCCTTCTCTCCACATAATAAAGAAAGAAGTTCCTACCTCTCGGCCTCCCCGTTGCCTACACCATAGGCAGTAACTCATGTACCAACACAAGTACAAATAGGAACACAATAAATGTTGACAGCAACAACAACTAAGATTAGGGGAAATAAAAGCTTAACCATATTTGAAATTAACCTAGGTATTCATGTCCCGCAAATAAATAACTAAATTCTTTGAAACAATCATGTCCAGCTGCTAGCTAATTCATTAAAACGAGACGACTAAATTCACTAAACAACAAAAAAAAAAAACTTAACAAAAAGTTCGGTTTGCTCCCCTGTTTCTTAGTTTAACTCCCCTGACTAGTTCTACATTCCTCAATAGAGTCATGGTCACAACCAGTTATGTCACACATTATTTACTTTTTTTTTTTCCTTTCTTAATTTAACATTATGCTGACTGGGCGATCTGTGGAATGGAAAGATATGCATTCCCAGACTGAAGGTCTGTACATTCGGTAGGTTGCCTATTTTCCATCGACCTTTTTGTCTGGTCAAATCCAGACAACGGACCACCTCGTTGACGTTGCACGCTTGAGTGATGACCAATGCATAAATAGTCCTAGGGTTTCCAATGGGGAATATGTATGGTAGAAGACCTAAGTTCATGGTATCGTCAAAGTGGATAAGGGAGGGCGGTCTCAAATTGTAGGTAACCTGGTCGCACGGGCTACGTAACTTTTAAAGTAACATCCGTATTTACGGGGAGTGAAAGTGAAATGATAATCAACACACGATGACCTTATTTACATCAATGATACATTCTCCTGTGATGACATTTAATTTTAGAGCGAGGTTTTTCGTGTGATGATGGTTTGGAGGGATTCATGACACCGGGCATAGGAACCGCTGCTGAAACATGTAGTCTAAAACAAAATAACAACAACCTGGAGTCATAAACAGTATCTTCTAACGACATAAACTTAAAATTTCATTTTGTGCTTATAATGTAAATAAAATGTTAAAAGTTGAGAATCCCTGATAGAATTTTTTTTTTTTTAAAATTTAGTTTCAATGAAACAAATACACCCCGGTTCAACATGTGGTACCATAGAACGAACTCTTGACAGGTTCAAAGTATTGTTACACTTATGTTGTAGTTGTCTTGCTTGACAACACAGTGCGAACTCAAGATTTATTCCCGCTGTCATTGAATGACAGGGAGACCAGGCGAAACGTCAACTATTACTACACAATTTCATAGACGCTGAAGTGCTGCAGAGTTTATGCGAGGCATCCATTTCTCATCATTCCGGTGGTATTTTCAATTCGTTGCAAGCTAACAGACTCAAGTGTTAAATCATGGTGATTGCAGCCCTGGACGTGGACAACCCCGTGTTTCGTATGTTCATCGGACACGGCGCCCTGGTGCTGGCCAAGACGTGTGGGATGAGCGCGCTGACGTCATTCTATCGAGTGACTAAAAAGGTAAGCTGAGGGGGGACATTTATGAACTGTAACTTACTCCATTATTTTGATTCGCGTTATACAGTATCTGATTCGCAGTTGGACTTTGACCTACAACGAATGGTTTCTGCTGACCTACTTAGGGCCTACATAAAGCTATGATTTAGGAAATCTTAAGCACAGTCTAGCCTTTAAGTAGTTTAAGTCTACAAGTCAAAGCTAATTCTATTTTTAAGTCAGAGGTTTAGTTAAAGGGGGTGGGGGGCAGAGGTGAACAGATTCCCCGGAAGCTACGCCAGCTTGAGGCGCCAAAAATAATTTTGTTTCAGAATATGGGGCGTAATAATGAATCTTGTTTCCCCGGGCTGTGCCTGTGATTTAAGATCTAGGCCAACATATTAGGAATTAGCAGAGTTTATGATTGATATATTGTGGGGCGAATTTTACTTTTCCTTCGTCACAGATGTTGCTATTTTGGGACAAAATGGATGCTCAGCTTGAAGGATTATTCAATAACGATACGTTTCACAATGATCAGACGTCAAAGTAAATTAACAACTCCGCACAAATTTGTCATGTAATGAGCAAAGCTTTACTTTATATATATATATATATATATA